GGTTTGCCTTATGATTTATTATGTATTTTGAATTAGGCTTTATTACTTCTATTGTGGGAAAAAATCAATTTCGTGGTAACTTTTACCATCGGTATAATAATAATAATTATTATTATTATTTTTTGTTAATTTACTCATTACTTTTAACATAACTTACCAATTTTTATAAACTCATTAATATTTATATAAACTTATTTATATAAAAATAAGTTTGACCAATATACGCAATAATTTTGTCAAAATTCATATATTTCAACCAAAAAAAAAATGCTGTTTTTTTAATAAGAAATGTTATTTTATTTTTGTTAAGTTCATCTCTCCATCTAATTGGAGCCCGTGGAGGAATCCAAATAGTAATCGGTAATTAAATATAAAAATACGTAAGTTTTCAGAAAAAAGAAAATCAATGAGTTTATCTCGACTGTAACCGCAACCCATAAATTGACACAATTAAATTTAATTGACAATCCATAAACTGACACGATTAAATTTAATTGACAGGTAGTTCAACGGTACACCATTTAATTCTGATTTAATTAATTAATTAAGTAAACTAAAGCTAAATAAAATCTGAAATCAAATGTTCTTCGAAAAAACCCCCCTATAATTGATTACGCTGCATGTTACATATCGTGATCTTTTTAAGTTAATTAATTGGATATTAATTAACTTAAATCACCATTAAACTTAACACTAAATTGGTGAACTTTGATTTTGGTTTGCAGTCAAACAGTGGTGTGGCTCACAATGCTGAAGTGCTTATTGGTCATAGCATCGTTCTTCCTCTCCTCCGCCTCTGCACAGCACAACGCCCCCCAGAAACATCAATGGCTCACCTTGAGAGGTTCCTTTACTATTTTCCTTTCTTTTTCTTCATTCAAATTCAAAAAAAAATTATTCAATAAGACTGCTACAATGATGCAAAACTATCGACAGCTTCCTGGGTAATTTCCCGTTCAAACCGCGAGGTTAAAAGTTAGTGAATGAATGTGAAATAGTTATGCAGGGGAAGAGCCAATAGTGATAGCAAGAGGAGGGCTATCTGGAGTGTTCCCAGAATCAAGCCCCTTTGCAAATCAAATGGCATTGGCTTCAGGTTTACATAACAAAACTGTGTTGTACTGCAACCTCCAGCTGACCAAAGATGGGATAGGCCTTTGCTTAACTGATCTCAGGCTTCAAAACTCGACCAACATTGAAGACATCTTCCCACAGCCTCATAAGCATTACAACGTTAATGGAAAGATCATCAGTGGATTGTTTTCTGTTGATTTCATGTCTGAGGATCTCTTTAACAGAGTCGACAGTATGTTCCTCTTCATTGTTTCATTGTTCTTCATTATGTAACTTTTCCATTTTAATTTTCTTTCATTATCAGTGATTCAAAATATCTTCTCCCGACCTAGTGTCTATGATGGTACTTGGCCAGTAGCTGCTGTTGAAGACGTCGTTCGGATTAAACCATCCCGGTTTTGGTTGAACGTCGAGGTATTTGATACTCATATCGTTAAGGCGTCGTTTGATAACTATTTGATTGGGTTTGATCTTTTGCAGTATGAAGCATTCTATGCAGAACATAATCTGAGTGTCTCATCATACCTTCAAAAGGCATTGAGATTGATGGCTATAAACTATGTGTCATCTTCTGAGATTGGGTTGTTGAGAGGGCTAAGTGGGAGTGTGAACAAAGGCAGAACAAAGCTGATCTTCCGGTTCTTAGAAGCCAATGAAACAGAGCCAACAACAAAGAAAACATACGGTGCATTGGCTCAAGAACTGGCCATGTTCAAGTCATTTGCCTCGGGAATTCTCATCAGAAAAGAATACATTTGGCCAATTGGTCCAGACAAGTACGTGCAGCCTGCAACAAGCCTTGTCATGGATGCCCATAAGCTTGGCTTGGAAGTTTATGCTTCTGGCTTTGCTAATGATGCAATGGTTGGTTACAATTATAGTTATGATCCAATCCGTGAGTACCTTCAGTATGTGGATAATGGCCAATTTGCTGTTGATGGGGTCCTCTCTGATTTCTCTCCTACTGCTTCTCAAGCCATTGGTCAGCCTTTTCTTTTTACCCCTTCTTGCTTCATTCATTCTGAATTCTTAGTTTGTGTCCTTCCTTCTTCTTGCAGCCTGCTATTCGAGTTTTCAGAACAACGGCAAGGCTCAACCCGGTAACGATCTTGCTACTCGGGTTTTCTTTTAGCCTTACTCCAAAATCAGAATTTAGAATTCGAGCACTTGGGTGTTACTGTAACCCTTTCAAGAGACTCGGTGTTTGGCTCTGCGTTACAGATGCGTTTCAAAAGCCGTGAGACTGATGGTGATACGTAACAGACAATGGGCTGTTACAAATGGTATCAGAGCCAGACACCGGGCTGTGTGTCAACAAGGACACTGGCCTGAAGGGGTGGATTGTGAGATTCCACATCGGTTGGAGAGGGGAACGAAACATTCTTTATAAGAGTGTGGAAATCTCTCCCTAATAGGCGGTGATCATGACATTTTAGTTTGGGCAGGAGTGAAGGAAGCATTGGTGATAAGCAGCAATGGGGCAAGTGGGGATTTCCCAGGCTCGACTGACATTGCTTACCAAAGAGCAATTGATGATGGGGCTGACGTTATTGATTGTTCAGTTCAATTATCAAAAGATGGAGTAGCATTGTGCATGAACATGGCGGATCTGTTGACAACCACCACTGCTATCACCGCTTTCTCCGATCGAACTACAACCATCCCTGAACTTCAACCCCAAGTTGGAATCTTCTCTTTTGATCTTACTTGGGCTGAGATTCTTAGTCTCAAGCGTAACCCTCCTTCCTGCTTCTTTCGTTTTCTTTATCAGCTTTTGATTTTGGTTTCTTCTTTAGTTTCATGTCTCTGTGTTTTCAGCTCAAATTACAAACCCTTTCATGGCCTCTTCTGGGCTTGCCCGTAATCCAGCGTTTAAGAACAAGGGCAACTTCGTGACCCTTCCTGACTTTCTGGAGTTCGCTAAAGCCAAAGCTGTTTCTGGAATTATGATCAACATCCAAGTAAACCCCTTTCCTTTTTCAATCTCCCCTCCCCTCATATAACTTAACTTCGAGTTCGAGAATAGAACAAAACATTCTTCATAAGGGTGTGAAAACCTCTCCCTAACAGGCACGTTTTAAAATCGTGAAGCTGATAATGATACATAACGGGCTAACGCGAACAATATCTACTAGCGGTGGGCTCGGGCGGTGTGCCAGCGAAGACGTTGGGCCCTAACAAGGGTGGATTGTGAGATCCCACGTCAGTTGAAGAGAGAAAAAAATCATTTTTTTTATAAGGGTGTGGAAACCTCTCCCTATCATACGCATTTTAAAACAGTGAAGCTGACGGTGATACGTAACGGACGAAAGCGGACAATATCTGCTAACAGTGGACTTAGGGTGTTACAAATGGTATCAGAACAAGATACCGAGCAATGTGCCAGCGGAGACGTTGGGCCCCAAGAGGGGTGGATTGTGAGATCCCATGTCAGTTGGAGAGGAGAAAAAAGCATTCCTGTAAGGGTGTGAAAAACTCTCACTAACAGACGTGTTTTAAAACCGTGAGGCTAACGGTCATACGTAACAGGCCAGTGCAGACAATATCTGCTAACCGTGGGCTTGAGTGAGCAGTTACACATTCCAAACTAACTTATGAGTGATCGGGTTCGCTCTTCTATTAACCAATAGCCTTCCTGTGTCAGAACGCAGCATACTTGGCTTCAAAGAAAGGTCTGGACATGGTGGGAAGCATAGCCACAGCCCTAAGCAATGCCACTTTTGACAAGCAATCAACACAACAAGTGTTCATCAGGTCAGACGACACTTCTGTGCTGTCCATTTTCAAGGCCAAGTTCCCAAAATTCATAAGAGTTTTAACGGTTGACTCCAAGATTGGTGATGCCCCAAACAATGCCCTTGAAGAGATCAAACGCTACGCCCAAGCTGTGGCCATTCCTCGTGCCTCTATCATTGAAGTAACCAACTACTTCACCACTGGCCTCACCAAAGTCGTCTCTGAAATGAAAGCTTCCAATCTCTCCATCCTTGTGTATGTCATGAGGAACGAATACGTCTCCTTGGCTTTTGATTACTATGCCCAGCCCTCCTTGGAGATCGCTACCTATGTCGACTACTTCCACGTCGACGGCGTCATAACTGAATTTCCTAAAACTGCAAAACAATATATGAGTATGCTATACAAAGACTTAGTAGCATAACCCAACTGGTTAAAACAAGTTGACGATATTCTTTTTGTTTTGTGATTGTAGCATGTCCATGCCGACCTACTCAGCCCGACCTGAACGTAGCTCCATATATAATCTTGCCACCTGAAATTGGTTTGCTCATGAGTATGGTGCCTTCAGAGGCTAAACCACCTACCGATCCTCCATTGCCGCCATTGGATGCTGGAGATGTCGTCGACCCACCGCTCCCGCCGGTGACCGCTCCTTCCACCGGGCCTGCCGCGGCCACCCGATCAGCAGCTGTATCAAATGTTGCAAACTTGTATCTTTCTTTACTCTTAGTTGTTGTGGTCAGCTTCTTCCTTTCCCGCTCCACACCAATAATCAATACTTAAATTATTTGAATACAACACTCTCATGGCCACCCGTTATGTAGTCAATACAGTTTTTCTAAAAAAAAAAAAAATTATTATTTTTTATTGTTTTTTAAAGAATAGTTTTTCATTTTCTAATATAAATTTTATTAAAAAATTATATAAAACACAGCAATAAATTTAAAAATATTTCATTTAAAAAAAAACAATAATGCATATAATTATAAAACATTCGAAGTTAAAAAGTCATGTGAGATCCAACTAGATGAGGAGGAGAATGACTGCCAGCTAGGAAGCTGAGGTCCGAAAAGGGTGGACACCGAGTGGTGTGCCAACGAGAATATTGAGCCCTGAAGAGAGGTAGATTGTGAGACCTCGCATCGTTTAGAGAGAGAAATGAGTAAGACAAAAACATGAGTCTTAACTAAGCGTGGACTATGAGATTCCATATTTATTGAACATTTATTAAGGAGGGAACTAAACATTTTTTATAATAGTATAGAAACCTCTACACACCCTCCGCTCTCCGACGATGGCATTCGGATGCCACGTGAGCCAACGAATTGTACGACGACCCACCCTTACACACCGCCTTTTCCCCACTATTTTTAACGGCTTTAACCCTCTCTCTGATTCCCCGCCCTTCTTCATCCACCATTATCCGCCTCACCCACCTCTCTATCTCCGCCCTCCCCACCACCCCCTCCGCCCGTCCCCTAACTGCCACCCCCACCTCCTCCGTCAGCATCACCGCGTTCATCTTCTGCTCCGCGTACAGAGGCCACGTCACCATCGCCACTCCATTCACCATGCTTTCTATCGACGAATTCCACCCACAGTGCGTCACAAATCCCCTCACCGATCTATGCCTCAAAATCTCCGCTTGTGGACCCCACATCGGAACCACCAAACCCACCTCTTCCGTCCTTTTTAAAAACCCTTCCGGCAGGTATTCCGTCGGCGTCTTCTCCGTCGATTCCGTTTCCACCGTGAAAAATGCTCCCATGGGATCTGTCCCTGCTGGTGGGCGTATCACCCAAACAAACCGCTGCTGACTCAGCTCCAACCCCCATGCCAATTCTGTGATTTGCTCCGCACATAACGTCCCTCCACTCCCAAACGAGATGTGTATCACCGACTCATCCGGTTGCCGGTCGAGCCAACTCAACACCTCGCTCTCCAAATTGGGCTCGCCACGTCTTGCCAACGGCCCAATTGGATAAATCGGTACCTTATTGACTTTCCCATTACTGAGGGTCCCAGCTTCGTTCAATGCTTTTAGCGTTGTGGGCTCCAGATCCTGCCACGTGTTTGCCAAGATCCCATCCGCCATTCCAAGCTCCCGTGCGACACGTCGTAATTCCTCATGGACTTCCTCCAGACTCACCTCCAATGCATCGATAGTGTCCTCGAACCGGACCGAGCTGCAACCCGGGATTCTCAGCGGTTCGTGGTTGTACGCGTGGGCGTCAAGCATTTGTTTGTCCATACATGGGAAAAAGAAAAAAAGCGAGAGGAACCATGCACTGGTGGGCATGAAAACAAAGCCCAACATGCCAAGTTCGTGGGCCATGGCTATAGCTTCAGTTCCGAAAAGGTCAACGATCAGCGCCACCGGACGGGGCTCAACGGCGGCGATGTAGGACCGAACGTGGGGGTAAGAGGCAGTCATCATGGCCTTGATTCTGTCGACGACGGGAACGGTTGGGTCTAGGCTGGGTGAGGAGTGACGAATAGGGACGATGTTGACGGCGGAGGATTTTTGGAGGAGAAGGGCATCGGCGGCGGAGGAGGAGTCAGTGTTAACGACAAAGAGGGTGGTTTGGAGGTTGTGGTGGAGGACCAGACGGTCGGCCAGCTCGAGGAAGGGAATTAGATGACCCATTCCGGGGCTGACCAGCAATGCCACGTGGGTTTTGGGTTCTGGGACAGCCATGGCTATGCCAGAAAACAACAACAACAACAAAGAACACGACCAATCCTGAGTGTTACGCTTGCTTCTAGTCCATGGTGGTATTTATTTAAATATCGAAACTAAATACATTTTTCATTTTTTATTTTCTTAAAAAAAAAATAACAATATTGCAAAAAATTAATTATATAAATTTAATGTTTTATTCCATTTTCAAACAAAGATTAAAATGAAAGAAAGCTGAAACCGAGTAAAAAAAAAATGAAAAAATTGGCGAAAGTGGCCGTCCACGTGTCATAATTGCATAACAATTAATTTTATCTTAAAAAAATAAAAGCATTGACCTTCGGATACAGCAACACAAACCATATATAACAATCATTTTCTAAAAATCATATTAGTTTAATAAGTTTTGTTAAATTATTAGACGACAAATAATGTTAATTTATCAGCAGTTTTGTTAGTTAGTGGTGTGATTATTTGGAAGGGCGGTAGTGATTTAAAAAGTCCGGGAAACTCCCTTGTACCTCTTTAGGGGAATGTATGAGTCACGGTGCTATTTAAAAAATCTTTACAATTTTGCCATTTACTCCCTTGTACCACTATTAAAATCAACGTAAAGCTATTAACTTATTCATAAATTAATTATTAATAACAAGTGACAGCAATTTCATTATATATAATTGAGAAAGATTTAAAGAAAAGAAAAGTTACTATAAAATCATATTCTAAATATAATAATTCTACTTTAAGACGCAATTAACCAACGAAAATGCAAGTACTCAACAATTAATTCACATTTAAATCAATTAAATGTTCAGTAAGAAATCTTTTTCCCTTTATTTATTATTTTATATTTTAAATTTCAACTTCTCTTAATTATTGTGGAGAAAAATGGGGCCAGTTCATAATTAATATTATTTCCTTCTTTGTACAGACTTCAACATAATTACTTAATTATCATGCTTAATGCAACGGCCAACTATTTTGAAGAAACTTAATTGAAATCAAATTCTTTATTTAATGTATTAATTTTTGTTGCAAATATATTGATATCTGCCTATATCGTTCATATGCTTCATAGTTCACATTTGTACGACATTCATGACATTTAAATACTTGTTGTTATCGTAATGAAAAACTAAAAGAATATCATACCTTAATCATACGTCTATATTTGTAATTAACTTAGATAGGTTTGTTTAATTCAGGACTTTGTTGGAGGCTCTGCAAAGACTTGTAGAGTAAAAAATTTATGTTTAAATACAAAACGGAGGAGGGATCGGGAGAGATTTCTCCCTATTAGCTAAAAGGAGCGTGAACTGGGTTGTCTCCATCCTCATTCTCATCCCATCCCATCCAATCCTATTATATTTTTATTTATGAAATATTATTAGATTTATTAGACTTATAATAGAAATTACATAAAAAAAAAATTGTCCATTAAAATAGATTTATTATAATTAATATATATATATATATAATGGAAAAAAATTATGCTTGAATCCAGCACGAAACAACCAAAAAAAAAAAAACAAACCATTGCTAATAAATTTGTGCAAGTAATTGAATAATGGATCAATTAAATGGCTAAGGGGACAGCACCACATGGACAATGTCAAAGAATTAATGTACATTCGTGGCTATTGTATGATAAAATTTCTTAGGATATACTAAAATACTCTATGAGACAGTTCCTATTCAAACACTTTGAACAATAAGATATTTAATCATGAGATGTTCCTATTCAAAAACTTTGAACAATAAGATATTTAATCATATTATGCGACCAAAGGTTTTAAATGCTAATGACATAATTTTTTTAAAAAAAAAAACATGTTGTATAGACAATATTCATATACTAATTTATTTGCAGATTCCTGCCATATTTGACCATAGACTAAACAATTATGGGACTGAGTCTATTCAATTTTCAATAGCAAGTTTAGTTGTATTAGTAATTTATCATATTGACGGTGGGAATAATAGTCAATTTAGATAATTTTCTATACGTGGAGTTTAAAGATTAAAATTAAACATTAAACAAGGGCCATTTTTTAATGGCACCGGCTTCACATGTTCATATATTTTTTCAATGTCAACTGTTTTGATCAATCAAGATGACGGCTCCATGTTCATTTGAAAATCAATTTATTTTTTTATTAATAATGGATATTATATAGTTTTCTAATTTGTTGGTTTATGGATTTTAGGATATTGTTTCCATTGTAAAGTATTGTAAGACTAAACAAAAAGTATTTGTTAACGTAAGCCCAAAATTTTGTAGCCCTGTTGAATTTCTTCGGAAAAGAATGTCAATATGGGGAGATGGGCTTTATAAACGGCTCTGTTGAAATAGATAGAGCAGATTATTGATCATTCCGAGAGGGGGTCGTTGAATTAATTGGTCGGTACGTAAACAATCTGCAAAAAAAGAGCAGCACGCAAAGATCCACTGGCACTGGCCAGCCAAGAACACAGAGTACTCATCTCGGCCCCTCCTGCCCTTGGATTCTTTGCTCATCTGACCCACAGAGCACAACAGGGAAGGACACCACCCCACCAGGCTACCACTGCAGAAAGCTCAGTCAGTTGCATACATACATTGTATTTCAAGATTTAACCTTGAATTGACAGAAAAAGTGTAATGACCTATAACTGACCAGGAAGAAAATGGGCAATGTTCATAACAATTTTTCCCCCACAGTTCGTTCACGTTCTGCAAAGATGGAAATTTTTATCAATAATGCCCCAAGCAAGATGAATTACAGATTCTATATACAAGAAATGTCTGATACAGGTGAGCAATCTCTACTCTAAGGACCATGCGATCCTGAAAAAAAATTGAAAGCACTCTGAGAGGGAAGGAAAAATATATAACCATCACAATTGCATTGTTCTTCTCATTTTCCAGTAGCGAATGATGTCCTTTCCTGGGCCTCGACTCAAATTTTGATTGCTCTTCCACTACAAGCTGTAGTAACAAGTTCAGATTTTTGCGAGAAGGCGAACCAGGGTCTTTCTAATGGTAGCATAAGTGCAAGTCCAAGCAATGAAAGTAAACATATTTTGTGAACATAAACCAATAATCTTTAAAGAGCAGGCACTTCAGTTCTTGAAATAAATATCTTCGTGTGGATGCTTAACAACGGGCCTTCCCACCCCCAAGAGTAAGCTCCAAGTCGTCCACCCCAACTTCATGAATTCTCTCACCCTCCCACGCCTTCACTGCGCCACTCTCAAATTTCTCAAATTCAAACTCGGAGCCTCGTCCCCTATCAGAGGTAGCACCCCAGCCCATTGCTCCATGTCTGTCAACTGCATCATGGAGAGAGTTTTGCTGACTAACTGGTTTCATCAGATTAAACGTAGGGGAAGGAGGAGCCACGGAAGGTGCCACAGTCTGGAAGCTGACCCAGCGACCAGAGTCCACAGTTGAAGCGTCCGACTCGTCACATTCTGGGATTGTAGCCGGTGTAAGATGGTGGCATCTTGTTGGACTTGAAGGAGCAGATACAGCAAAGAATGGATGGCGGAAAGAGGTTACATAGCTATTTGGAATGGACTCCCAGTCTGGTTTTCGCTTAGAACCCCTTGACGTCGGGGAAGAGAGAGGCGGCGTGACAGGTGCACTGTTTGATATTCTGAGAGGAGGGAGATTAGCAGGTATAGAGGATATATTTTGAAGGAATGGCAGAAGATAAGAAGATGGATTCCCATCAAATCGAGTTGGGCTGGGAAAAGAGGACGAGGAAGGACTGGCATGGTAGGATGGTACAGGACTCGGGAAGCAGGAAGATTGTGGGCTTGGTTGAAGAGAGGAACAGGCACTCATGTTTGCAGAAGTGCCAATATCAATCGGAGGTGGCTTGCTTCCCTGTACAAGGTAACAACATAATTGGTAAGAAACATAGACAAGACATCAAACATATTGCTGAAATCAGAAACTGATACGCATTTCACTCTTAAAAGTTGATGGAAAAGCACCCAAAAATGGCGCGCCAATCAACTTTGAGCAGCATACAAACAACATCTAAGACATCGAGAAGGGAACGACACAGATGACAACCCTAATTAAAGCTCCATAAATTGGGGAGAGATAAATAAACTGCTACACCTTTCTTACGTACTAATGAACTTCGAAGATTTAGACATATCAACTGCTTAAGAATTCTGGATCTAAAAGAGGAAACTACAACACTGATTTCTCATTCGGCCACTGTCACTTACTCATTTAATCAAATCAATAGATTCTTAAATTCTCGGTTTACCAAATATCCAGATCTAAGAACATCAAATCACAGAACCAAAGACAAAACGCGCAAGTAGTAACAAAAGACCTAAAATAAACACGGATCTGGACAAGAGACCATGATCATCACATTCCAAAATCGCTTAAAAAGTAAGTACACTTAAAAAGCAAGTGATTAAAAGAGAGAAACCGCAAACCTTGCGATAGGTGGTGCCATCTTCTTCAACCACCCAACCAGCCTCGTTACAGAGTGCTTTCAGGACCTCGTTGTTGTCACAGTGCTTAGGAAGCTTATAGTTCCCCTGAGCTCTAAGACCAGTGTAGATCTTAGCAGCAATGGCCCTCCGACGCCTCTCCCTCCTCTTATTATTCTCCCTTTCCTTCCACGTCGGCGTCCTTCCCGATGACCCTCTGCCCGTCATGACTTCTTCAGACAGCAGCAACAAATCTCTCTGCAGCAGCTCCCAATTCTTCAGTACCAACAATCCAGCTCCGGTATGGACCTTCTTCTCATTCTATCTAGGGTTTACTCTCGATCAGGGAGAGATAGAGATAGAGAGAGAGAGAGAAACAGAGCGTGTGAAGAAAAAGTACTGCAACGCATCACCAAGCAAACTTCGCGAGAAGAGCGCGTTCATTGTTGAACATCTTCACAAGGAACCGCCCTTGTAGATTCTCCCTTTGGTTGGGGTAGTTTGGGTATTACAACCGATGTTTAGGGGTATTTTAGCAAATTGCCACAGCCGAAATTTTCTTAAAATTATATTTCATATTATGCGTTAATTTTTTATTTATTAAATTTTTTTTAAAAAAGTTGTCGCATTGGTGGGTCCCGGTAAAACACTTGTCAAGCACGTGGATCGGTTGGCTTTGAGCGAGGGAATTACGCTAAGCTAAACTCATTTTGGCGGGATGGGTTGCCTGCAAGTCATATTATTATTAACCCCCTCGGTTCCCATTTATTTATTATTATATTAAAGAATAAATTAATAAATTTTAAAAAAATTTAAAATTTTAATTAATGGAATCCTAAAATTTAGGAGGGCAAATTGTTAATTTACTAAAATAGTCAATCCATAAAATAAAATAATAATAAGAAGAAACGAATAAATTGGAATATTTCTCCTCAAAATAGGAGCATGAGAAATTTTCGTTTTTTTTTTTTTTGCTCTTCGGAATTCACGCAACAAAATAACAATTAGACCGGTCAAAGGCATTTTATTTGTTTTATTTGGATTTATTTATTTATTGTTTAAATTTCCCTTTTCGTCCTCGAAGTTTTATTCTTATTTCATTTGCATCCCTATAATTTTAAATATTCTATATAAATCCTTAAACTGTAAGCTCTCTAAATTAAATAGTATGTCGGTCAAGTAGATTTTCTTTTAACTTAATTTAACAATAAAAAAAATATTTTAAAATCTAATATTTTATTATACTGATTTTGATATTTATATTTTCAAAATATACAATTTAGCCCTTAACTTTTTATATTAATTCAATTTGATCTAATAACAAATATAAAATAGTTAATATTATAAAAAGGACGGAAATTAAATACTTAAAAGATTTCGAGAGTGGATGGTGGACTGCACCCCCTTGTTCTAGAGGCTCTCCGACTAGGGAGGGGTTTGCTATATTAACCTTTTCATTCGGTCAGAAGTTGGTCCAAAGAACAAGAACAAGCTTCCTTTAAGCTTCTTGCTCCTCAATAGCCCAATGTAAAGCAGCCAGTGGTTAAAAAATTTCGATTATTTAAAATAAAAAGACTTATAATATGTCAAAAATAAAATATTGGGTCAAACTCTTCTTTGATGTCAAGATAATAGGTATGATAAATATGTAACATAGAATTTTCATGGATCCTCTGACTCTTAATCGGGTCCGCTCCCGAGTGGTTAAGAAAATAGAAAATAAAAATGATTGAGGTATACAGTAAGATTGACCAAAAGTCTAAATCAAAGAAAGAAGCCAACCAAGGTAAGGTGTAGGGCGTAGTGGATTGGGCGCCACCGGCTTAGCGGTCCTACAACATGGCCACCATTATTGATTCCTCTAAGCTCCCTTCCAATTTCCCTTTTGGACGCCTTCTATTTGTTTCTAACCGCAATTCAATGTCCCAACTCTACTTCACTCCTAATTTGGTCCCACCTAATAAAATTACTTAATTCTCCTTAAATTTAATTTTAGTTTATTATTAATATTTTGACGGTGTTCATTAAACTTTAAATAAAAAATTAAAACAAATTGAAATTAGCATCTGATTCAAGCGTAATATTCCCAAGTTTCGATTTTCACATTAAAATATTTATTATTTATGTATATAGTGATTTTAAAATTATTTCATGGATGCTTCCGCATGTGGTGTAATCTCATGGGAACATTGAAGATTTGCTAGCTACTACCTTATATTAAAATATTTATATAAATATAATACAAAGGCGTTTAAATCTTATTATAAAATACTAATTACATGATTAATACATAAGTAATATGCGTAATCCAAAAAATACGCATGAAAATGATAGTCTAAAAATTAGAATAAGATAGGTGGAGGAAAAAGGAAAAGAATTAAAATAATGGGGGAGGGATGGGACACGTGCGGGCGGTGGAGTTTATGAGGGCACAGACTCCACAGAGGCGTAGGTGCACGTGCAGCAGACAGGTAGGCAAGCGTGCTTTTTTTGTCCTCCCCGGGGACCACCGCTCCGTCTCCGCGTCTTGTCTCGTCCCTTGGTCGACGCTACGTTAACCACGTGGGGGACCTCTCTTCTCAGGTCTCATCCCCAACAATAATATATTATTATTATATTCAATTAATAAATCGTAAATTTTAAGGATGTGTGTTATTGTTTGAGGGACTAAAATATTGTGGAATATGGGCTTTCTCTAACACGTGGCTGAGCCCATTGGGCGCTATGGGCTTAAGCCAACGGCCCAACCGTTAGATAATAACTAATACAAGATAAATAATACAATACGAGTATACTACAAGGTAAAATGCAACTCAGGTCGAACCCAAAGCGCAGCCATATCCTTTCTTCAGTAGCCGTCTGCTGCGATCAGTTGAGTAACCAGAAGATAAAAATGATCTTTCCATGCACCTACACCTGCAAATGGTATCAGCCCACACAACAATGGCAGAAATACAAGCAGGAGGGCGTAGAATACAGCACGGCGAATCCAATATGGGAAGATTGAGTGACGATTTTTCCCTTGAGAAACCTCGACTGGCCCGTGTAAGATCAGAAACAGTGCTGATGTAAAAAGATTTGTACATAAGTGCATTGAGCACATGATCTCCCAAAACATGAGCCAATGCAATCCGCTTCCTCCCAGTGTGTCTATGCAGAACTTCCCAGCTAAACCGCAGGCTACTGCAAGCAACAAGACGATGAAAGTAACTGGCATTGCCTGATTTGAAGTAGCTGAGCGTTGGAGTAGCAAGTAAGATATTGCAAGAATCATTATCACACCGAACGCCAACCGGCTCACAACTTGAACTTGACACCTTAACATATGCCATCCGGAGTTCAAAGATGCCATGGGATTTGGCATCCACCAAGATTTCGAGTCCTGTAATGAGCATAGAACCTCATGTAAACTTGAACAGTATGTGACGAAAAAACTCATCTGATAAAGTATGTATTATTCAAGTTGCAGATCGACGAGTGTATGAAACGAGCCATAACAGGAGGAAGGAGCTGCACTTGCCTGGGTTGAAGGTGTACAGATTGAAGTAGCTTCAGAGATTCTTTGATATGAATAAACATATGCTCCATAAGAGAGGGCAACCGACATTATAAGAAAACCAGCAACGAGACAGTCTATGCAGTTTTTAAGCAGTTCCGAATGTCTCGTGTCTTCTAACTGATTCTTGAACTTCTCTGCCTTAAAAGAGGCTTTTGATATGCCCATTGCCAATTTCGACCTCTCAAGATTGTTTAATTCACAATTGAGTGCGATTTGCGTTTCTTTCAACTTTAATTTCCTCAATGCAAGGCCAAACTCCAATGTTTTAAGATCGTTGGAACGTGCCTGTTCGACAACAGATCTTTCGAAAATGCCTACGGATACCTCATTGCTACGGCAACCAACTGGACGTGGGGCAATAGAAGCCACATCGTCTGTCAGTCTACACAAAGCTAACTCATGACCCAATGAATCAGAAACGCTTTCATTTACCTCTTCAATTAAACTTAGTTGATCAACAGGGGCATTTGTCCTAGAAGACTCTTCCAGACTAGAGCTACTCGTCCCATCCCGTTTCCTATCAAGGGTCAGATCCACGGTGATTTTTTCTTCTTTGCGCTTGCTGGAGAAATTCACACCAGTTCTTGCAGATGATTCACTAATTGATCTAAGAGTTCTTAACGTGCTGCCAAACGACTTCTCAAATTTCTTCAAAAACCAATCGAGCTTGTCCCCGAAAACCTGTTTCCATACAACCGGTCAAAGAACAGGCATGTTGAAGGGACTTCAGCATCTTGGACTCTGGACAATGCTGAATGAATAAGAGAACATGTAAAAACGAAAAAGTCGGCAAGAACTTAAGAAATCGAACTTACATTGACCAAAGATTCTCTTATAGCTGAAGTGCAAATCTGCAGGTAGACAAGATGAGCTTGCATCATATGGCTCAATGCATACAATAAGCAGACCAGACCAGACCAAAACCAGCAAATCAAGATTAAAACCACACCTATGGCTACATCGTGGGAATTGCGAAACAAAGCAGTAAAATCATTCACAATGAATACGAAACTTCGAATAAGACTATATTAGGATAGACCATACAGCCCAACCCCACCGCTAGCAGATATTGTCCTCTTTGGAGTTTCCCTTTCGAACTTCCCTACAAGGTTATAAACGCGTCTACTAGGGAAAGGTTTTCACACCCTTATAAGAAATGCTTCGTCCTCCTCTCCAACCAATCTTAATTCCAAAGAGCTGTATGAATATTAATTCTTTTCTGTTTTTAGTTTTTCATTTCATCAAGGTGCAGAACAATTCACAATTCATAGAACATTGGGACACTGCTCACTTTGAAAGTACTCCTCTTAATATTCATTGAATATTGCTTCACATACAGAAAATAATAATAACTTTGTTTCAAAACTTCTTCAGGCATTCATAATATAGAGAACAATAGCGTACCATTGAGAGATGATCAACAGACATCCTTTCACTAGACATGTCCTGCTTCTCAAGAACCTAGAATCACACAAACACGACATGGTTAACCCTACAAAAATAACATCATGATTTGGCAAGAAACAGTCCGTCAATTTAAAGCTTTGTGATCATCAATGTTCTACCATTTGAACCATAATAGGAAGCCACTAAATTTGCTTTCCCAGTTGAAACAAATTTAACTTCCACTAGTTAAATAGAATTGGGATCCAGCTCCTTGAAGAAGAACTATGCATTGAATTAAGAGAAATTTGGCAGTTTAGAAGCATGAAAACGAAAACACCACAACCAAGAGGCAAAAATTTCCCCTAGCCTGTGAAACCCTATGAATCAGGAAAAGAAGACGAACCTGAGAAACAAAAGCTGCGAATGACATCCCCAATAGAAGCGCCACGCTTTCAAAATCACAATCGACACGCCGCGGTTGAACAAGTAGAACCTTGGGACGTCGGCG